GTCTCGTCGTCGTCCCTCCTATTTCGTCGCCGTCGTCGTCGTCGTTGTCGTCGTCGTCGTCTTCCCTCCTCCCTCGTCGTTGCCGTCGTCGGCGTCGCCGTCCTTCCTCCTTCTTCGTCGTTCGCGTCGTCGCCGTCCTCCCTCCTCCCTCGTCGTTGTCGTCGATGTCGTCGTTGTCGCCGTCGTCGTCCTCCCTCCTTCCTCGTCGTCGTCTTCGTTGGCGACGTCGTCGTCGTCTTCGTCGTCGGCGTCGGCGTCGTCGTCTTCGTCGTCGTCGACGTCGGCGTCGTCGTCGTCGCCGCCGTCGTCGTCGTCGTCGTCGTCGGCGGCGTCGTTGACGTCGTCGTCGTCGTCGGTGTCGTCGTTATCGTCGTCGTCGGCGTCGTCATCGTCGTCGTCGTTGTCATCATCGTCGTCGTCATCGGCGTCGCTGTCGTCGTCGTCGTCGTCGGTGTCGTCGGTGTCGTCGTCGTCGTCGTTGTCGGCGTCGTCGAAGTCGTTGGAGACGTCGTCGGTGTCGTCGTAGTCGTTGTCGGCGGCGTCGTCTTTGTCGTTGTCGCTGTCGTCGTCGGCGTCGCTGTTGTTGCCAAGTGCCATGTGGTACCCACCGTCACGGTCTTAAGAGATTTTGCAAACCAAGTTGCGGGTGGGTGGGTGGGATGCTTGCGCGAGCAGTGGAGTGGACAACTCACTGCGAACAGAAATTAATTACACCACATAGGCTCCACAATATACATTGCACAGCGAGCATTGCACAGCATAGATTGCACACCATACCTTGAGCCACATAGGTTGTACCACATAGATTGCAGCACATAGATTGCACTGCATAGGTTGCATCACATAAGCTGCACCGCACCACATATAGTGCTCCACAACTACATCACATAGATATCACCACAGATGTGACCAACAACACACTGTGTTGGGCCCACGTTGCCTAACATTACATGTGTATATATCTATAGAGACCGATATATATATATATATAGAGAGAGAGAAAGAGAAACACGCGCGCGCGCTTCGCGCGCTTGGGTTCTAGCGCATACCATGGCGTTGTTAGCTGCGCGTGCTTTTCGGACAGGCTCATTCTATGCCTTACCCCTTCGTCCTCTAATATTCCTCATTCATCCTGGCTCGTTAACGATCCAGTCTCTCTCGGTTGTCCTCGCTTGTCGTTTGTCGTTCTTATCGACGGCCTCCTCTTACTTGGGGTTATGCGGGGCCTTCCAGCTATTCAGGGCCGGCGTGGGGAGATATTGACTATGAAGTTGGTTGTCTTGGAGTGCAGGGTCTCTTGGGGATCTTCCTGTTCGGGCTGCCTTGATGGCCTTGGGGCCCTCTTGGGGCCCTCTTGGGCTCTTCTTCGAAATTATAGAGCCATCTGGAGCCTCGGGACCATGTGAAGCTCTCCCGAAGCCATCCGAAGGAGAAGAGCGAGAGATGTTCTGAATATAGAGAAACCTGACTTGCTTATGCGTTTATGACTCTCTAGGGTCATTTTTGGGGGCCTTTTGGGAGCTCCACTGGGGCATCTTGTGGTCCCTGGGGGGCGCCTTGAAATATCTGATCAAACATCTTGGAGCGTCTTGGGCCACCGAAGGGCCATCTTGGCGGCCAGCGGGCGTCCCGCTGAATCAGCTCGGAACAAGCCGAAAATCACCCAAAGGGGAGTTTGAGAAAAGTGGGCCACCCCAGGGCCAGAAACCCGGTCGTCGGTGCATAGAGCAAGGTGGAGTCATGGTACACTGGTTGGTGCATGAATGGACGAACTGAACACGTGGCGGGGGGTTACGCCGCACTCGCAAAGACACACTATGAGAACTGATTGCGCATTCCTCATGGCAAAGGCGAGTACCGCGAGGAGAAGGAAGAACGGGAGGAGGGAGAAGGGATATGAGAGGAGTAAGGCAGGAAGAAGAAGAAGAAGGAACGGGGGAGAAGGGGGCAAAAGGGGCTGGACGTTCCAGCGAAACCCCTTGAACCATGGGGGGAGGGGGCAAAGTCGAGATGGTGACGCCAAGCCCCCCATCGTTATCATCCGTCTCCACTTCCGTTTCCGTTCCTGTTCCTCCTGCTCCTCATCATCATCCTAGTTCACCCTGCTCAAAAGGGCCCGAATGGCCAACCTGATTCCACGCAGCATGGGGTGACGAAAAAAGTTGTACGACAAGGGCAAACAATTTGCAACCGAGCCAGCTCGAGAAACTCTCATTCCCCTTCTTCACCAGTCGCCTTCAATTCAGCACATCTCGGCCTCTACGCCCTCTTCTTGCTCCCCTCTCTTTTATCGGAGGGGACGGCCAGTCGCCGTTCGACACAATTCCCTTGCTGAACAATCGAACGCCAACAAAGAAAATCCGCCACCTTGTCGCAGGCACGTTGGGACCGTGTGAGAGTGCTTGAAGGCTTTCGGGAAATGTTTCTGCTGTTCTCTGGGGGCGACGCCCCTTGCCGCGCGCATCCTAAGACAGCGGACTCTCTTAACCCTCTCTTGAAATCCCGTTGGGGTTTCTCGCGACCCTCTTGGGGCCCTCTTGGGCGGACTCCAGAACCTCCAGGGCCGTTTTGGGGGCCCTCTTGGGCCGTCTTCGGGCCCCTAGGAGGGGGGGGAAGGGGGAGGGCCAGGCGGAGCGAAACAAACGGTTGTCTCCGCAGCAAGTAGATAGAGTCCGAGGTTAGGAAAGGGATCGAAAAATCGTTTTCGGTTTCGTGTTCGTGTCGCGCGTGTGGGCGTGGCGAAGCTCAGTCGGCGGGCGAGAAGAATGAACCCGCCGTGCTGAAGGCGAAACCGGCCCAAATTTTGCTGTGCCCCCCGGTTGGCCAGCGGTGGCCCAGGGGTGTCCCGCGGTGTCCTGTGGTGTCCCCCGCGGTCGGCCGGCAATGGCCTGGGGGTGTCCCGCGGTGTCCCATGGTGTCCCGTGGTGTCCAGTGTTGTGCGATGCTGTGCTATGGTATGCTATGCGATGCTACACAATGCTATGCTATGCTATCAATGCGATGCTAAGTTATGTGATGTGAGGCGATGCGATGCCATGCTATGCGATGCTATGGTATGTGATACGATGCTACGCCATATAGTATTATGCGATCGCATGGTATTACATGGCATGTGATGTTATGCTATGCTACGCTGCGCTATGCTATTACATGCTGTGCAATGATATGCGATGCGATGCTATGCTATGTTATGCTATGCGATGCGATGTTATGCTGTAGCTCCAGTTGGTCCCCTCTTCCTCGCCCCCCCACCACTCACACAACCTTCTCACCCGAAGAGTGGTCGTACATGTAGGTATGCACTGGCAGGGTCTCGCGGCCAGAGACGCAACCGCCTCGCGCACACTTTGCCTGGAGCGGGGAGGGATGGGGAGGAGGAGCGGGGAGGGGTGCGGAGTGGAGTGTATTGTGGGCCTCCTGGACTGTCTCAGAGCGCTCTGGGCCCCACAGGCGCCTTCGAAGGCCGTCTTGGAGGCCTCTGTGGGACGTCTTGAGGCGATCTTGGGGGCCTCTTTGGGCCGTCTTGAAGGCCTCTTGGGATGTCGTGGGGCGATTTGGGGGTTCCTTGAGGCCGTCGTGGACGCTGCTAACAACAGAAATGGCAATACGCCAATGATACCGGAGAAAAACCCAATCTGAATCTTTTTAGGGCTACAGGGCTATAGGGGCTATAGGGCTATAGGGTTCTGGGGCTATGGGGCTATAGGGCTATAGGGCTATAGGGTTCTGGGGCTATGGGGCTATAGGGCTATAGGGCTATAGGGCTATAGGGCTACCGGGCACCCAGGCACCTGGGCACCAGGGCACCCGGGCAAACGAGCACCTGGGCGTGCTGCCGAAATCGGCGTCACGGCTAACCTAACCATGGGATGCCACAGAAAAACCCAATCTGAATCTTTTGAGGGCTATAGGACTTTAGGGCTATAAGGCTCTGGGGCTATAGGGCTATAGGGCTATAGGGCTATGGGGCTATGAGGGCTATTGGGCTATTGGGCTATAGGGCTATGGGGCTATCGCGGGCCTCTAGGCTGTAGGGCTATAGGCTAAAAGGGTTGTAATGGCTGAAGCGCTATTAGGGCTAGCGATTCGGGCTATAGGGCTACAGGCTATATAAGGTCAATAGGGATATAGGCTATAGGGCTAGAAAGCTCTAAAAAAAAAAAAAAAAAAACAAAATAAAATAAAAAAAAAAAAAAAAACAAATAAAAAGAAAAATAAAAAAAAAATAAAAAAAAAAAAAAAAATAAATAAAAAAAACAAAAAAACAAAATACAAAAAAAATAAAAAAAAAAACAAAAAAAAAAAAAAAAAAAAAAAAAAAAAAAAAAAAAAAAATAAAAAAAAAAAAAAAAATAAACCACAAACCATAGAAAAACGAAAGCCACCGGCTGCTTAAGTAAAAAAAACAACAAAAAAAATGTATCCAAACTATAACAAAAAAAAAAAAAAAAAAAAAAAGCACAAGTTCAGTGAGCAACCATAAAAAAAGGATTGAAAACAAAAAAAGAAAGGCTATAGGGCTATAAAGCTATAGGATTACCAGGCACCCGGGCACCCGGGCGTGCCGCCAAAATCGGCGCCACAGCTAATCTAACCATCTGGATCCGACAGGACCCCTCAAGAGGCAAACTCTGATTGGGGGATGAATCCGCTAGGACCCATACAGAGGCAAGCTCTGATTGGGGAAAAATTGAGACTTCCCCGAATAATTGGGTCGATGTGTGCTTCTTGCTGTTTCAGCCCTCGTCCAAAGGATTGTGGAAGAGCGGTGAATCAGCTTCATTTTTCTTGAACCAAAAGTACACGGGAACACTTTCCTGCCACAGTTTCCGACCAGGCGTACTTAGCCCCACGGACGTACCCCCCCCCCCCAGATTTGGACTAGGGACGAGCACCTCTCTCTCTCTCTCTCTCTCTCCTCGTGGTCGGCATGCGGAAGAGCGGGCAAAATAAAACGCCCTCATCCACGGTCTGCGCCCTCATGATCAGTGAAGGCGCTCCCGCAGGCGGTTCATGACCTCCGCGGTGGCGGTGAGCATCCTTTGGATGTCACGTCCGCTCGCCAGCACGCGACCGTGGTCCTTCCACTCATTCGTCAGCTGGGCGATCACTTGCATCTCCGTCGGGCTGCTCCTTCCAGCGCTCTCGACGAGCTTCTCCTTCCTCCTGCAGCCGTCCTTGAGCACCAGGCCCCGCTCGACTAGCAGCTCCCGCAGCTCGCCGACGGTGTAGACCTCGTACAGGCGCTGAACCTCCCGTGTGATGTACTTCTGTTCCTCGAGCCTTCATACAGCCTGCGTTCTCTGCTGCTGCTTCGGCTCGGCATACTCCTCGTGGTGCTGGTGCCTCTCGCCTATCAACGCCGCTCTTGGGCCCTCTTCGGCCGTCTGCGAGACCGCTTTGTGCCTGCCCACGCACCAGCCGCAGAGGTACGCGATAATGCAGAGCACCACGACCAAACTCACCAGCAGCCATGGGAGCACCCCCGACTGCACTGCCTCAAGCTTCTCGCCCTCGCAGTCCATCTCGCACTGGTCCTTGGCCGCCGCCGCGCCAGGGATCACCGGGAGAGTCGAGAGCGTCATGGCTGCGCCCGTCATCCTCAGGTTCAGCTCGTGCAGGTGCGTCGCCATGCTTTCCTCGTCCGCATACGTCGTCAGGATGTCCGCCACCATCTCGCGCGTGTCCTCCTTCACGAGCTCGAACATATGGAGTCGTAGCCGCTCCTGGATCCAGAGGTAGCGCAGCTCCAAGTGGCGGACCCTGCCCACTCCGCGCCGCTGGGCCATGCCCCGCGCGGCCGCGCTGTCCGAGGCCACCACCAGGCGAACCTCGATCCCGACCTCGCCCAGGAAGAACTTCATCTGCAAGCCCCGCGCCGCGACCGAGCCGAGCGCGTAGAACTCCGACTCGCCACTGCTGAGAGCTTGGGTGGCCTGCCTGGCCGAATAGCACTCCCAGGTGTGATTGCCGAACCTGATCGCGCCTCCAGATGTGCTCTTGCGCGCCACTGCCGTCGGCGCCGCCCAGTCTGCATCGCCGTCGGCCCCCAGGATACTTGGCAGGCCCTGCAGCTCGTAGCGCCAGACTAGGACCTGGTGTCCCTCAAGGTATCGGGCCAGCCGCATGGGCCTCGCATTCATCTGATAGCTCGGCTTGCCCACGTCCTGCATGATGGTCTTGCTCGAGAACATGATGTCGGGCCGATCCGCCGCCAGGTAGAGCGCGAGGCCTCCCGTTGATGCTGTCTTGCGTGCCCCGGTCGTGGGCATCGGGCCCGTCGCATTGTGCAGCTGCGCCCCGATCGCCTTGGTGCCTGGGGTGTCGACCACCTTGGCGCCCTCCTTGGATCCGAACTCGATGATCTCCGTCACGTGCTTCGGGTCCGCGTGCCAGAAGAAGCCTGGCAGCATCGTCTCGGGCTGCTGGTCGACGTAGCCGTAGACGCGCTTCAGGTAGCGGGCAACTCCAGGGCGCCCAGGCCCCAGCGGCGGCGATGAGGTGATCTCGTACTCCACGCTCAGGACGTCATCCAGCTGGTCGAGCGTCCCGACATGGCCCTCCGCAATGAAGTCGTCGCCGTGGACCCCCATCGTGGCGTCGTTGCCGTCGCTGCAGAGGTTGGCAAAGCAGACCATGCCAGGGGCGCACTTCAGCGCCTTGCCTCCAGCGTCGTCCGAGGTAGCCTTCACGTTCTCGCCCCGCAGCTGGCTGGCCAGTCGGGTCCCGTACAGGGCCTTGAACAGCTCCCAGCAGTAGCCTCGCTCGCACAGCTCGCTGCCTGGGTGGACGTAGATATTCTCTGTCAGTTCGCTGTTGAAGAACGCCTGCGGACATCCCAGATGCGGATGCACCGTCGGTGCTGTCCGTCGCTGTCTGGCTTGCTGGCCGCCAAGCTGAGAGTCGCGCGAATCAGCGCGAGTGGCGGTGTGCCCTGATGGTTGTCCTCGCGGTGCTGGTGGGCCACCTCCGTCGCCACGAAGCGCCAGCGCACCTCGCCAGCCTTCTCGCGCGCAATGGGGAAGCCCCCGACGTGCTTGCCACCAGGCTCGCAGTCCGCGATGCGGATCTTGCGGTAGACGCCGTGCTCGGCCATGGCCTGGAGCTCGTCTGCCTTGCCCTTCTGGTACGTCTCCTCGTCGAGGGGCTCGCCCGTGTAGTAATCGTAGTGGATCTTCACCGTCGGCTCGGGCGAATTCGGGCCAAGGTTCCAGTCGGGCTGCTCGCGCGCCCTACGTCTCGACCACAACGCGCACAGGCCCGCCACGACCTCGGCGTCTGGATTGAGCTCCTTGGCGCAGCCGATGAGACATCCCCTGCGCGCACACTGTCCAGCATGGTCGTGCCGGTAGGCACAGCGGCCCACGTGCGCCTCGCACAAGCCCTCACATCGCTCCTCAGCCCTCGGCATCGGGTCCCAGAGCGGGCCCTCTCCCTGGTCGTCGTCCTCCTCGCAGACCGCCAGCTCGCAGACTGAGAGGCCCGCGATGACCACAACCTCGGGGGCCTGCACCAGCGACCCGATCCTCTGCCGCGTGTTCGGCTCTGAGGTCTCTGCTACTGGGCCTCGCGCCAGTGCCTTAAGCGCGCTCGTGTCCATCCCTGGGGTCGCAGGCGCCGCGACTGGCGCGGGCGCTGTCGAGAACGCTGCCGCCGCTGGTCTCGGGGCCGCCGCCTGCGCGTCGGCAGGCACGCGCGGGGGGGCCTGGGGCGCTGGCCCCGGCGCCGCCGGAGTGCCTGGCGCGGCCCCGCCCCTGGCCTCCTCCGAAAGCTTCGCCTCGAGCCTCTCCTGCGCGATGGTCTCGAAGCGCTGCCTGCACTGCCCACTGCGCTGGCCCCGTCCGTAGGTGCACTTCGGGCAGCCGTCCGTCGGGCCGTAAGTGCTCAACACGTTCTCTGTGATATACATAGACTTCCCGATGCTCGACCTCACTCGCTCAGGCACAGGGACCCAAGGTGCGACGTCAATCTGCTCCACGAGCTCAGCGTTCCAGCGGAACTCCTCAGGCGTGCGGCGGACCGAGCGGACCTTCAAGAGGCCGCGCTGCAGGTCGACCACCAGGCGCTGGTCCTCGAGATCCGACTTGCCCACCCAGATGCCCTTCACGAAGCGCGCCTCGAACCTGCCCTGGCCCTCTGCGACTCGAGCCGCGATGCGGCGCCACATCTGCTCGCCGACCTCCGCCACCTCGCCCACGTACTCGTGGCCGAAGAGGTACTTGTAGCTAGATCCTCCGTGGCTTCTCGGCTGGAACCTCGCGATGTACCAGCCGACCGCGTCGGCGAGGAAGGCGAGGGTGGAGTCCGAGAGCTCGAGCTTGCAGCCTAGCTTGGTCTCGAGTGAAAACCGCAACGTGCGGAGTGGTCCCGCAGCTGCTCCGTTGCTGGCCTCGATGCGCCCCATGCTCTTGGATGAGTACGCTGGGCCCTGCCGCAATATCGTAGTGCGACCTGAGCTTCTTCACCTGCTCCGCCAGAGCGACGATCGCATTCTCGCCGTCCGCGAGCAGAATCACCGTCGCGCGGCCCCAGCTGTCAATGAGTTTGGCCAGGAAGTGCGCCTTGTAGTCTCCCATGTGCTGAGTCGAAGAGCGTGCCTGAGGCGTTGGACCTGCAGACCACGACGTTCAGGGTCGCGGGGAGCTCCCCGCGCCCCTTGTGATCCAGCTTCCTGAAGTCGACGACCTTCACGACGTAGCCGTTCACCATGGGGTACTTCCTAGATATCCCGTCAGTGGCCACGTAGAAGAAGTCCACCTCCACGACTGGGCACTCGTCGCCGCCTTTCGGCTGCGCGCCCACCGCGCGAGGCGCGCCCCCCGCGCGGCCCAAGACGCAGCCGCTGCACCGCGGCCTGAAGGGAGATGATGCACTGCGCGGGCTCGTCTCTCCTCGTCCGAGGGCTGCCCGGGCCTCGCGAGCGCCTTCGCCTTCAAGGTGACGTGCTCGCTGGGGTCTGGCCCGAGTGCCGTCGGCAGCTGCTGTCGGGCCTCGGCGGCTGCGACCTGGGCGCGCGGGGTCTTGCGCGTCGCGCTGAGGTACAGCTCCTCGCCCAGCTGCTCGCCGATGACCTCGCCCAGCCCGCCGATGCCCTCGCCCAGCTCGCCGATGCTCGCCATGCGCGCCGCCCGCTTGCCCTCGGAAAAGCCGCCCAGCATCTCGTCGTCCTCCAGGTAGCACGTGCCGCGATCCTTCCTCAGCTTAATCTTGTTCGCCGATGCTGGGGGCGAGATCGGGCTGTCCACAATCCCATCCCCAAGGGGAGAGTGGATCGCCGACTTGCCCTGCTTCGCAATCGCGCCAGTGGACATCGCTGGGAACGCCACGTCGGCAGCCTCCGCCGAGATCTGGATCACTTCCTGTCCCGTCTTCAGCCGAACATCCGTCTTGCCGCAGCGACGCACCTCCGCGCCGTCGGTGGCCCGCAGCTTGGAGACCCCCGACTTGGCGAGCACGTAGCCCTTGCCCTTCCGCATGTCGCAGGGGAACGCTGTGATCTGGGCCCCAGAGTCTATCGTGACCCCTCTGACCCCGCGGATGCCTGAGACACAGACACTGTCACTGCTCGCGCTGCGCCTCGATCTACCGGGTTCCGCCGACCTCGCCATCGGCCTCGAGTGCTCCGCCGACAGGGCGAAGATGCACTTCGGCTTGATCGCGTCCTGCTCTGCAAGGAAGCCGTTGATCCCGCGCGCGCCCGTCGGCACCGTCGGGATCGTGCTCGCTCTCGAGGCTGCCCCCGATGAATTCGGGGCGTGCTGCTGCGGCCCCCTGCACACCGCGCGGCGCGTGAGGCGCTGCGAGCGCTGGCCAGCGCCGTCGCACCCAGGCGGAGGGACAAGTCCCGCAGGGACCATGCCACCACCTGCGGCCAGTGCCGCCGCCGTGGCACGACGCTGCTTCTTCTCATCCTTGGCCTTCTTCTTTGCTCCCGGATTGGCCTCGTTCTCTCGCTTGAACTTGCGGCAGTCGTCCTTGACGCCGCTCGGCTTCTCGCAGTGACTGCGCCACTTCCTCGGATGGTTCGGGTTGCCCTTCGCCTTCGGCTCGAACTTGTTCTTATTATTATCCTTGTCTTTGTCATTATCACCCTTGCCTTTTTTCCTTTTCCCTTCGGCTTTCCCTTCACCGCGCCAATCTCCATCGCGTCGTCGTCAAAGCTGCGCTGGGCCTTCAGGGCATTCAGGACCTCATTCTTCACGTCGAGGTAGGTGCCCAGGTTCCGCAGGTTGCGGGAGACATGTTTCTGCAGGTCGTGTTCGTTCTGGAGCGCGCCGAGCAAGATCCCCTTCCTGATGTTGTCGCTCAGCTGCTCCTCGGCCGCCTTCTCATACTTGCTGATATCCAGGTCCAGCTTCTCGATCTCGTTGGCCACGTCCGTGTTTGTCACGAACTGCGTTGGCATGAGCTGCCTCAGGCGTGCCACGACATTGCCAGGCTCGTTGGGTGCATACTCGCCCTTCAAGCGGATCCACGCTTGACCACCTTCTCCGTGTAGAACGTTACGAGTGATGGTCTCACCCGCTGAGTCCTTTGGCATCGCGAGCACCAGCGTCCACGCTCATCGTGGCATTCTTGGCGTCGTCCAGCTGGTCCAAGGCCTTGTCATCTAGCTTCTCGAAGAAGTCTTTGTAGCGCTTGTCGTTCGCCACCATATACGCTCTCCAATGAAACTCCCATGTCGACCATGCGCTCCTCGAGCCGTCGAACTGCTTGACCTTCCCTATGATCTTTGCGTCCAGGACTCCCTCAAATCGCTGGGCGACGCGAACTGGCTGCTGTTGAGCTGCCTGTCCTGCTGCTCGGTGTTGCTGTTGCTGCTGCTGCTGCAGCTGCTGCACCGTGGCCAGTAGGTCTGCTATCTGCTGCTGCTGCTGCTGCTGCTGATGCAACTGCTGCTCCATCACGACGTCGTTCCGCTGCTAGAGTCGCGCACTGGTTCCTCGGCTGCGGAACTGCACCCAGTTCCGCGCTACCATGTTTCAGCCCTCGTCCAAAGGATTGTGGGAGAGCGGTGAATCAGCTGTATTTTTCTTGAGCCAAAATACACGGGAACACTCTCCTGCCACAGCTCCCGACCAGGCGTACTTAGCCCCACGGACGTACCCCCCCCCCCAAGATTTGGACTAGGGACGAGCAGCTGCGGCCCTCATAGGTGTCCTCTTGGAGCCCTCTTGGGGGGGGGGGGCCTCTCCGGCCGTCTTGAAGCCATCTTGGGCGTCTTGGCGCGCTCGTGGACCGTCTCGAAGGCCTCCTGGACCGTCTGGGGAGCGCCTTCGGGCCCTCCGACAGTCCCCCGAAGGCCCACAATGAGTCCCGGACCTCTAGGGACACAGTGGCTACCGCGGCCAGGGGAGTTTTGGAAAAGTGGGCCGCCTCGGGCCCCAGGGGCCTGGAGGAGGACGAGGAGGAGGAGGAGGAGGACCAGTGTAAACCCAAGAGCCATCAACGATGTTGGATTATACCCTCCCTCCAAGCTCCCTCTTCATAGGCTCCTACAACGGTTCATTTCCATTGAGGGATCTGCCTCGTTGGAAGACAA